CGCGGCCTCGCCGCAGCACCACGAGCTCACGTCGCTGTTCGAGTGCCCCGTGTGCTTCGACTATGTGCTGCCGCCCATCCTGCAGTGCCAGGCCGGCCACCTCGTGTGCAACCCATGCCGGCAGAAGCTGAGCCTGTGCCCCACGTGCCGCGGCGCGCTGTCGCCCAGCATCCGCAACCTGGCCATGGAGAAGGTGGCCTCCGCCGTGCTCTTCCCCTGCAAGGTAGGGCCGCGCGGGGAAGGCGGCGCGCCCGCCGCGCGGGAGCTGCCCCTCCGCGGGCCTGCCGCGTCCCGGGCCGGCTCCCCGCGGGAATGCTGCAGCGCCTCGGCGGCCACAGGGAGTTTCCTGCGGCCGATCCCACCTAGGCTGCCAGGTGAACCTGCTGGCTGTGGGCGGCAGTGATTCCATGCAGTCCCTCTGGGAATGCTGCCCCTGCTCTCCCTGCACGCGCCGCAGGAGCTCCCCATGCCGCGTCTCACGGGGAAGGGAGAACAAACCAGCCAAGGCGGCCGGGGCTTTCCCCGTGCGCCCCGCTGCTCTGCCCTCCCCTGCACCGCCCGCGCTCTGCTCCTCTCCCACCGCAGAAACGGAGCGGCACAGGAGCGGTTTGCGTGACCTCCGTTAGGCTGTGTCATGTGTCTGCAGATTCCTCAAGTAAAATAACATGGTGGGAATGTCAACAAACTTTAAAAACAAGACTGCGAGTCATTCCTCCTGGTTGGTTGGAAACCCTGCGCTAAGTGGGAGGTTTGGAGCCGTCAGTAGTCACACGGGCCAACTTTGTAACTTGTTTTCCTTCAAAACCGTCAATCTGTGCTGGWGCGGAGTTGTGCGAAGCTGGCAGCGGGAGCTCTGTTCCCGCGTCTCCAGCTGGTTTCCCGCAGCCCTGCTCCGGGGGCCAGGCCTGGTGCACCGCCAGGTCGGTAGTCACCCTGGAATTCATGCTTCGGAGGCTGCTCAGGGCCTCGGCGCCGCCGCGGCTGCATCCTGGCCCTCCCTGGGCACGGCAGGGCACGCGCTCCTCCCTCTCCTCCCGGACCTCATCCCAATGGGAACAGGAAGGTTTCCCAAGCCCCTAAGGGCCGGGCTTGGCTTGTTCATTCCTGCAGGTTTCTCTCTCTGCGGCTAGAGCACCAAGCAGCAGCAGAGCAGTATGTTTAAACATCCCTCCCCCCAGGAAAACCCGCAGCTGAATAAAGATCACTGCGTCTTTCGGGCAAGTTTCAGTTTACGTATATCAGTTGCTAGCCCTTCTCCAGTGGGGCACTCTTTAAATAATAATAGAAGAGCAGTTCCTGTAACAAGAGCGTTTCCAGCCCTTCCTGGGCTGGTGGCCCTGGCCAGGCAGCCCAGCTCCCTGCCAGCCCAGGGGCTCTGCGAAGGCAGCAGCAGCAGCACGAGGAGGAGGAGGAGGAGGAGGAGGGTCGTGGCCGAGGCCACGGCCATGGCTAGCGCGCGCCCTGCTCGCGGCACCACCGCGCTTGGCCTCTGGGCCTCTGCAGTTTGGGAAATAAGAAGAGTTCTGGAAAGAAGTTGGCCTGAGATGCAACAGAGCTAACAGAAAATGGGGTTTGAAGTTTCTTGTGGCTCTAGTCGCTCTGAGGATCCCTAAGTGCTTTAAGAACTATAATTATCGCAGTTCTGCACTTCATGGGGCTTCTGCAAACAAACCCAAGGGAGATTTAAATCTCAACGTTACYGTGCAGTTGCTGAAAATATAAAATGCTTTTCAGTGCTCCGAGCAATCTGCACAAGTTAAAATGCACATCATAAATGTACTCAAACTCCTAATTAATGAATGCCCAAAGGAATCCAGTGCTTTTCCTTCTTTCAAATGAGTGCAAGTAGAAGTARTATAAACTGCTCTTTAGTCACGGATATGATTTAATTTGGATTTAGCTTCTTCTGTGACTTCAGGTGTTTTTGTCCGGTGCTGGATAGGACGGAAAATAAATCTCGTGATTTGGAAGCTGCGTGAACAGCCACCACAATCTATTTTTATAGCATTTATGTGAGATGAACTGTGACTGTTAACTGCTAAAACTGGGCGTTGCGGCCTGGCTAAGAGCAGCTGGGGGAGAGGAGCATTTCTGCCTTTAACCACTTAATCCAAAGCTCTACTGTAAAGCACGCCGAGTTGCAAATCTTTATTTTCAGCTACAAAGGCTGCCCGCAGCAGCCARCAGCAGTGCCGGCCGCGCGTGCCGGCGCTGCCGGGCCAGGCCTCCGCCAGCAGCGCGGTTGCTGCCCACGCGCCCTTGCCCGTGGCCATGGCAATGACACGAGAGCAGCGAAACTCTAGGCGGTTCCTGCTTGTGTTTCAGCCCGTTGCAAAATTTACCTCTGACCAACGCGGTGCCAAGCAGCCCCGCGCCGGGAAACACCCAGCTGCGGAGGCCTGGTGCTTACCCGCTCRGGGCTGCCACGGGCGGCCGGAAAACCTTCCTGCAGAGCACGCCGGGAATTCTCGGGGCTGTGGCTACTTCCACAGCAACTTGTACGTGTAAGAAGGAAAAGAGATTTCTGKTTTTTTTCTGTGTATGCACTGAGTGGAAAAGGCAAGTACCTGAGGCTTGATTTTTGTCAGGAAAGGAAAGCCCCCCTTTTCCCCAGCTTCCCTGCGAGTGGTGATTATTTGCATCCTGGAAGTTAGGACAGAGACACCTCGCACGGAATGAGCCTTGCACTGCAGCCAGCTCTACCTAGAGAAGTGATAAGGTTTCTGAGCCTTCAGACGGCCCTGATGCTTTAGAAGCAAATGGATCCAGCAAATTGGCTTCCCTGAGGTCCTGCAGACAGTGGTAGACGGTGGGCAGACCGGGCTGTGTCCTTACACACCACCAGTGGCTACACCACCTATTCCGGAGGCAAGGAGAGCAGATTTCCCATGCAAGCAAAAAGCAAATCGATGGGAACTGCATATTTATGTCTTTATAGCATACAAACTTCTGTATGTTGACTAGATTTGTGTGTATATGTCTATATATGGATTTACTTACTAATGCTGACTCCACAGCCTTTTCAGAGCTTTTCTTTCATTAAAGAAAAAAAACCTATCATATTAAAGATTTTAAGGAAATAAACTAAGCCTGATTGAAGTGTGTCCTGACGGGGTGTCCCGTGCTCCGGGGGGGCCCTGCTGGAGCAGGAGGGTGGACTAGATGATCCCTAGAGGTCCCTTCCCACCTCAACTGCTCTGGGATCCTGTGAATGCTTTGAACTCCTGGAGGGATCTTAACACCCAGAGCAGGGACAGACATTCTACAAAGTGCCAGAGATGAGGAAAAGGAAAATCACAAAGGGATCTAAATCCTTGCTGGCCCCGCTGAGCGCTGCTGCTCTGAGCTCAGGAGCGGGCAGGCCCTTCTTTATGGAAGCAAGAGCTCCACTCCGCGG